GTTATCGGCTAAATACCAAAATTAATCGTGATTAATTTTTTTGCCAATATTGCCCAACCCTAAGACCCACAACAGCCTGGAGCCTCACATCATAGACAACTCCAGAGGGGACTAAAGTCCAGTTGAGGGTATTGGTTCCAGAGCCCACACCATGCGTCGAGGTGAACTTGATTATACAGTATGTAGTCTGTACCTTTCGACCTCGCCCACAAGCTCAGGCTCCTTCCCTACCAGAGAGGTGACATTCCATGTCCCAAGAGACATCTTCAGTAAACCAGAGTGCCAATGCCCCTGCCTTTGGCTGCCACCCATGGCACCACACTCATATGGGCCCTCCTGCAGGTGGTGAGTCCACATGAAGGCAAACCCATGTAACTCATTTGGGCTGAACCTGAGTGGCCACCATGGGTAGAGGCCCAGTCACCAGTCCTGGCTTCAATTAAAAAATTTCAGTAGTCATTTCATACAGTAAAGGTTGAAAATCATCATCAGAAAAGAAAATATTTGCATCATTAGAAAAAAAGTAAAATCTTTGATACACTAAACACATTAGACTGTATCTCATTAATGTATCAAGAAGACAATTAAGGGCCCAGTACTGACCCCTGGGATACACCACAAGTAACGGCTATACATAGAGAGTAACAATTGTTTAACTTCACAAACTGTTGCCTGTCTCTTAAATAACTGCTAATCCAACTTAAAACCACCACTAAATATCCTCTACGCCCCCAAATTCTCTTATAGATGAGATTTTGATGTGTAAGTCTGTAACANGTTTTAAACGGCCAACAAGAAAACAAGAATCCCAACAAAGAACAGCTCTGACCAAACAAAATCTAATTCTTGTCAGCGCGGTGCGATTGCTGTGTGCTGAATGTCCTGTTTTAAAGGAGAACTCCCACGAGGCAGAATCTATTCAACAAAAAGGACAAGAAAACCTCCTCATTTGTGAGACATTTCTCATCTGCAGAATAGTGTTTTGTCTGATACTCCCAGTAGGACAAGAGTGATTAAATGCTATAAATCACTGACTCAACAATGTCATGCCAGTCCAGTGCAGGCCACTCTCATWAAAGCTTTGTCACAGCTGCCAGTCAAATGTGAGACTTAATGAGCACTGCCATGTGAAATCTGGATAATATTCAGTATTTTCTAATCAGCTTTTTGAGGTTTGCTGTCACATTAGCAGCATAAAGTCACTTAAAGTCCCCCGTGAGCTGTTATCATGGCTTTTGTTTTTCTGCTGTGAGCTTGAAGTCAGGAAGTTCCTTTTTCTAAAGCATCTCTGGAACTTCCTTTCTTTCGTTGTGTCCTTGTAAAGCTTTCTGCCTTCYCTCCTCGGAAAAAAGACAGCTAAACAAAACAATTATATGAGCTGTGAGGAAATGATAAAAGAGACTGCTGATGCTGATATTTAATTAGTTTTGATACGCAAGGCAATTATGTTAGCAATAAAAGCAAATTTATGTTCTTCTCTGACAACGAACTATTACATCTTAACTTAAACTATAAAGTATTTGAGATGTATTTTATTTCTTTTAATCTAAAAACAAAGTTAAAAGATAAGATACAACGGAAATTCCTTATCTATAAAAGCTAAACCTGTATTTACTGTAGGTTTCAGTCAGTTTTAGAGATGACTTGTTTGGGCTTTAGGAAATGACAACTAAGTGGTCAGGAAGTTATGATCAGTACAGACAGACAAACAGGAAGTTTATGTGTTTGTGTATTGTTTTGTCTTTATCATGTATTCAAGAAAACTGAAATAAACAACAGCAAAAAGGGAAGGAACAAAAATGACTATATTCTACAGGTCAAAAACATAYATATGTGCACACATGTACGTAAATATACAGTACATATGCACCAAGGCCACTATAAGCAGACCCACTAGGGTTGGGCATAATCGTATCGTGTGCAATTAATCGTCAGAAAAACATTAATCGATTACTTTTTGGCACTTGACGATTAATACGATTAATGCCACCAGGCAGAGTCTGCTCGGTGCTCCTCTCCGCTTCAGATTTGATGGACATTAAAAAAAAAAGTTCTGTAAAATTTGATGTATAGCCTGAAGTCTGTTATTTTGACACAATTTGGATTTTTATGAAGAGGAAATCTTTCCCACTACCTTTTTTGACAATATTTATTCATTTAATT